TTTTCTCCCTTTAGTATTGACCTTGAAAATCAAAATGGACTTCATTCCTTTTGTCTTGCATAAGCTAAATTTTCCTTCTGTATCAAGGGATAAATCTGGCATCAGTAAATAGATTATATAAATCATAAAAAAATGAATGTGACTATATGAGCCAAGAAATTGAATTAATCCAATGCCAAAACAAACAAACAAAAATATATTTAAAAACCTAAAACACAAAAGTTTCATCAAAACCTGGAAAATATCTTGAAACATCTAGTATTATTATTACTACAACTATTATTTCCAAGGTAAATGAGATAGGACTATCCTTCTCCCACTTTCTCAGACATTTCTCAGGCGAAACACCTCACTGAGTCATTGGAATGTTTTGTCCACTGTTCACACCTTTTAAAAATATTCAATGAGCACCAACTATGTAATTTCTTTTTCCTCTTGTAATCAAATTTCACTTGTATGAAAACATTTGGAGAGGAGGGAATACAGACACAAAATTGGAGGAGACAGGATAGTGTCTGTTTCAGACATGGTTCCCAACCCTACAGACTCAGGTCTGAATCCAATGCAGAGAGGACTGCAGGCAGAAGCCAAAGAAGTGTTTTCAAAGGGACTCTGTGAGGTGTGGGGGCCTACACTGTGCATTGCTATTTTGAGAGACAAAGCACAGAGCTGGGAAGTGGGGTCTTCACACCTCTTTGTGAAGCACTGGTTCATCCGAGTGAGAACTTTAGGAAGAGCATGAGGACACTGCACCCTTTGTGGGACAACAGTGTCCCCTGAAAGAGCACCAGCAGTTGGGACACTGTGGAAGTATTTTTTAAGCTTTTATTTGTTGATAACCTCAATGTTTGTTTGTTTATTTATTTATTTATCGAGACAGGGTCTCGTTCTGTCATCCACGCTGGAATGCAATGGTACGATCATAGCTAACTGCAGCCTCATAATTCTGGGCTCAAGCGATCATCTCACCTCAGCCTCCTGAATAGCTGATATGACACGTGCGCTCCACCATGCCCAGCTAATTTTTAAAATATTTTTGGAGAGACAGGATCTCACTCTGTTGCCCACGCTGGCCTTGAATTTCTGGCCTCAAGTGATCCTCTTGCTTTGGGCTTCCAAAGTGCTGGGATTACAAGATGTGCAAATGCACCCAACAGTTAATATGTATCAGTGGCTTTCTGTGCCAGCCATTCTTCTAGATGCTAAGGGATACAGCAGTGAACAAGAAGCAGAAGAAGGCAACAAGGGAAATAAAGAAGTACATGAAAAACTATTTATGAACTCATCTGGGACATCCCAGGAACTCCCAGAAATAACTAGGGAGTGGAACTGGTGGGCTGCAATTGGAGGTTGAAGCTGTACAGATAAGAATATAAACCAGTTGGCTGGGCACGGCGGCTCATGCCTGTAATCCCAGCATTTGGGAGGCCAAGGCGGGCAGATCACAAAGTCAGGAGTTCGAGACCAGCCTGACCAACCTGGTGAAACCCCATCTCTACTAAAAATACAAAAATTGGCTGGACGTGGTGGCACACACCTGTAATCCCAGCTACTCAGGAGGCTGAGGCAGGAGAATCGCTTGAACCTGGGAGGCGGAGGTTATAGTGAGCCGAGATCACGTCATTGCACCCCAGTCTGGGCGACACAGCAAGACTCTGTCTCAAAAAAAAAAAAAGAATATAAACAACTTAAATTCTGGTTAAAATTCTTACTGTGACCCCATTGATACATGCACACTGATTTATGCCTGCATGGATAAGGAGTGGAAAAAAATGTATTAAATGGTAACAGTGATTATTTATGGACAGTAGTATTATGAATGATATTTTAATGTAATTTCATATAAAATCTATTTCCAAATGTTCTAGTGAATAGAGTAGTCTTCTTCTATCCTCACAAGATACATTCCAAGATCCTCAGTGGATACCTGAACCAAAACCTATATATGCTATGTTCTTTTCTATGTATACCTACCTGTGATAAAGCTTAATTTATAAATTAGGCACAGTAAGAGGTTAAGAACAATAACTATTAGTAAAATAAAACAAGTATAACTTTACACTGTAATAAAGCTATGTGAATGTGGATTTGATACCCAAGATGGCTACTAATTGACTCATGAGCAGGTCGTGTCTACAGCATGGATCCACCGGACAAAGGCAGAATTCATTTCCAGGGCAGAATGATGCGAGATTTCATTAGGCCGCTTAGTATGCTGAAAAACTTAAAACTTATGAATTGTTTATTTCTGAAATTCTCCATTGAATATTTTCGAACCACAGTTGATGATGAGTAATTGAAACTATGGAAAGCAAGACTGTAAATAAGGGAGAAGTACTTCATATGTTACTTTTATAAATATAAAAATTTTTTTTTTGGTCTAGGAGGCAGAGGTTGCGTTACTCTGTCATTAATTTTCCCTGGATAGTATAATGTCCTAGGGAAAACTTTGACCCTGTTGTATATTTAGAAGAAATGTATTTGATGATAAACATACCAAAACATTAGATTAAAATATAATGTGTTTCTAAAGAACATATAGATAGTTGAAATGACAAATTTTTATGCTGCTAGATTGTAATTAAATGTTCACTCTTATTGCATCCTTTTCCAGCAAACTTTACCAGAAATTAAAAACAAGAATATAATTATCTCTCTCTAGTAATGCTTCTAAAAATAAGCTATGTAGTTTCTTGGAAGATCAATTCTACATCAATAAGTAGATAATTAAGAGAACTCTCCAGACAATTCAGGAATTCAAATATCACATCTTTGTCTTGGTGTCTCTAAATATCCTGTTATCATAAACATGTACTTTCTAGTTCATTTGTAAGGAATTCCTCTTGAAACATCAAGAGTTCAAAAGTTTACTGTTATCCCCTTTGTAACCAAGTACTTTAATATTATACGTATATTAACTGATTGTCCTGGAGAACTATAATTCCACCTAGTGTCTGATAGTTGACATTCTTAGTTAGGAAAAAAAAAAAAAAAAAAAAAAACCAGAAGAAACGCAATCTCGTTTTCCCTCTTTCAGACCTAATTGTGATTTTAAAAGTAAGGTTAATTTTCCTAAAAACAACCTGATGAGACTTTATTCCAACACAAGCAACATGTGCATATCTGGGTTAGATAAATGAAAAGATACAGAGACCTGTAACAAACCTGGAGGGGCCAGGCTTAGGTAGAGAATAAAAATCAGAGATTAGCTTGGGGACACCAGAATGTGGAGGTTTCTGGAAGTGAGAGACTCTGGAAAGACAGCTGGAAAGCACTGATGCCTAGCATAGTGCTGTCCCCAATGGGTCATTAATGACCACTTGATGATGATAATATTAGTGGCAACTATACACCTGCATCACTGCACTGCTACTCCCAGAAAATGAACTACAAATGCTGATTTGGCTTAATCAGACCTTCAACAGAGTTAATAATCCAAGAAGACCTCCAGAGAATTGTCAAGGACGTTTATTGTCCATAAAACATTCATGACTCCAATCGAAAAACAAGGGCAAGCTTCAGACGCCAGAATGGCTCCATCCTACAAAAAGATAGCCCAGGAGTTCTAGCCACGGCGCTGCACATACATGAGTGGATGGTTCTGTTCTGAAAGATCATATGCTGGGGTCTGTTTTGCACCCTTCCAGATCTGATTGATTAAGAGGTAACCTTTCAATTGGGAAACTTCACACGGCTTAGGTCAGGTTCCCTGGGAATATTTGTTGCACTACAAGACTTCCTCTGGAGCCCATGTTCCCTTTCAGAGACCTTGTGCTAAGATCTTCTAGGAAATCTAAGAGAACAGTTGAGAAGAACATCATAAACTACAGGCAGCCTATAGAAAAGTGTGATCATTGGTTCTACTACACTGAAAATGTGAGAGTTTTACATTTTATATTTACGTTTTACATACATTCAGCAAACTAATGTATATAAAGCTGCTAAATGATACTTGTCACAAACTAAGAATGCACACATTTCAACCAAAGTTACCAAACTTTGGATTGTGAGGCACCAGGTTTTTGGTAAAGTTTTATTGGAGCACAGCCACATCCACAATTTACATACTGTCTATGGCAGCTTTCATGCTATATCAACCGAGTTGATTATTTGTGATGGAGACCGTGTAGCATGCAATGTGAAAAATATTTGCTATCTGCCCCTTCCCAGAAAATGTTTGTCAGTCAATACTCCACTATTTTTCCATTCAGTCTTAGCCTACCCTGGGAGCCAGATAGAAAACATGAGGTATAGGGAGAGCTCTCCTCTCCTTAATGGAGATGAATCAACTTGAAATCTCAGTATACTGCTAAGTCTCATCAAATGAACTGTTCTGCCTGAGTAACAATCCAATAATCTTATTGTAAAAACACATACACTTTTATTATCACAAACACCATACAATTAAAGATGCAAGCCCTTCAGTAACTGTCAAATCACACAAGAGGATGGGGATGACATTCATGTTGAATTACAATTCATCACCTCAGTGTTGCTTGCCAAGGTTTTCTCATTGTTTCCATTTATGAAACACTGCTTTTTAATTTTACCTCTTGAAGGAGTAAAAGAAAAAAATGCTTTGAGTTTTTTCACTTACAAAAGAGAAGTTCAAGTAAGTAGTGCATTTTAATAGTAGTATTCTTGCTTTCAAGGGAGGGGGAAAATGTGGGAAAGCTAGTAAATATATTTGGAGAGAAGAGGAATCCCCCTTTAAGCTAAAATATGAGTGGAACAAGTATAATCAAATATCAGAAAAAGCAAATTATCCATATTACCAAGCTAAATTCCAAGAATCATCTGGAAAATATGTTCTGTGACAAATTACTCTGAATGCTATTCTATATCACTCACCAGTTGGAGTTAGTAAGATTTACATCAAATTTCCTGGTATTTACTCCTGGGTCTTTTTTTATTTTTATTTTTACTTACTTATTTATTTAATTTTGAGACCGAGTTTCGCTCTTGTTGTCCAGGCTGGAGTGCAGTGGCGCGATCTGGGTTCACCGCAACCTCCGCCTCCCGAGTTCTAGCGATTCTCCTGCCTCAGTTTCCTGAGTAGCTGGGTCTACAGGCATGCACCACCACACCCAGCTAATACTCCTGGGTTGTTACAAGTCCCTTATGGAAGCTTTTAGCTTTTAGGTGGGAAGGCAAATCCGTCTAAAAAAAAAAAAAGAAGAAAAGAAAAATGTAAGAGACTGGAGACTGACAGAGGTACACTTCATGCTGAAACTCAGCTCTGTCATTTACTAGCTTTATGTCCTTGGGCAAGTAGATCAATTTCTCTGAACTTTGGCTTCCTCATTCATAAACTGATGACAATAATAGTATCCACCTTATTAGGTATATTCATGTATGTAAAGCAGTGAAGTGGTACCTGTCACATAATAAGAATGCAAACATTCCAACCAAAGTCACCAAACTTTGGTTTGTGAGCCACCGGTTCTTTCCATAAATAAAGTTTTACTGGAACACAGCCACATCCATTCATTTACATATTGTCTATGACAGCTTTCACTCTACATCGGCAGAACTGAGTAGTCGTCACAGAGACCATGCAGCCTGCAAAGCCAAAAATATTTCCTATCTGCCCCTTTCCAGAAAATGTTTGCCAGTTCCTGTATTAAACAATTTTTTAAAAATATTATTATGATAGCTTCCTTTTCTTATTTTACGTAGAGAGAAACTTTCACAAACTGTTTTTCAGAGAAATATAGCAACTTAATAAGAATGACCCAACAAGGTGAAGACAGGGCTTCTCTTCTGCTCTTCCCAGTGCGTATTCCTTACTACATTTACACAGCCTTGAATGTGGGCATTTTTTCAGGAAGCACATTTAGCTTAGAGGTCTCATAACACATCTGCTATTTTTCCAACTGATTGGCATTCAATTCAGATGGAACTTACTAAAATGAAACATTCTCATTTAGGGTTTTGAAGGTGATTAGAAGTTGTGCATAGTTTGGTTCTTCCCAAGAACCCTACCCCAAAATACTCTCTTTTTTTTTTTTTTTTTTTTTTTCCCGAGAAGGAGTCTCGCACTGTCGCCCAGGCTGGAGTGTAGTGACGTGATCTCGGCTCACTGCAAGCTCTGCCTCCCGGGTTCACACCATTCTCCTGTCTCAGCCTCCCGAGTAGCTGGGACTACAGGCGCCCGCCACAACGCCCGGCTAATACATACATATATATATAGACACACACACACACACACACACACACACACATATATATATATTTGTAATTTTAATAGAGACGGGGTTTCACCGTGTTAGCCAGGATGGTCTCGATCTCCTGACCTTGTGATTCATCTGCCTCGGCCTCCCAAAGTGCTGGGATTACAGGCGTGAGCCACTGCACCCGGACATTTTTTTTTTTAATTCAACTTCTATTTTAGATTCAGGGGGGTACAGGTGCAGATGTGTTACCTGGGTATATTGCATGATATTCTTGATTTTTTAAAAATTGGCTCAGATAACCCCAATGTGCTATCTTTCTCCGGGCTCCGTTTTCTTTGAAGTCCGTGAGAGTAGGAAACAACTCCAGAGGAGCCGAGTGAGTCCCTGACTGGAGCCTTGATCTCTGAATGCAAGTTTAACAAAAGCCTCAGGGTCACCCAAGTTATCATCAAGTGGGTAAGTAAAAAATGAAGGCGTGCAGACAAATTGGCAGTTTAAAAATTAAACTTACGCGGAAAGACAGTTCAACTGAGAAAGCATTTCACTTCTACAGCACCTTGGCTCACTTACTGATAATCTGTAAAGAGACGTTTTTACAAAGTGAATTTGATCTGTAGCTATGCATTTTTTATGCACTTTTCTATACAGTTTTATCACCAGAACTCCCTTCCTATCAAAATAACAAGATTTGAACTAAAACTTTAGAAAGGAAAAAAAAAAAAAAAATCAACTCAAGAGAGAAAAGGCGAGTGAAGCAGGATTTCTGTGGCTTTATTTCTTAAATTGAAAAAAGACAGCATCAGAACAAATGGTGCCTCCAGGGCTCTTGGCGGCCCTCTCTGTCCTTCCGTTGTGTAACCCTTAGGAAACGACTTAGTTAAAAATAAGAAACTTTTACAAAATAGAATTTTTTCACCCAGATATTTAATTGGTTTATTTGCAGAGATAAAATGTCCTTCTCTGACCTAAAGATGAACTTCCAAATTATATGAAATTTCATACAGAATGAGAGAATTTATTAAATTCAAAAAATGATGTTTTCGGGACTGAAGTTGTTGAAAAATAGCAACAAGATTTGAGCAATGGGAGGAGGTTTTCACTGTTAATTATTTTATTGCTAACATTGTATCCAACTTAAGATAAATTTATTTTCTTTCCTAGATGGCTCTGGGATTAAAGCAAGTCTTGAACTCGAGGTAGAGTTTTGTAGCCAAGTTACAAGAGCTTGACAAACACAATTTATCGTGGGAATGCTGAGGCCACCTTAACACAACAATGTGACTAGCACCACTATAATGTAATCAAAATGTGTGGGAAATAATTTGTTTCAGTAATAGACAAGAGAATATAAAATTGCCACACTGAAATACAGCACATTTTCTAATTGTTTGCTGATTCCAACATAACAATTTTGCAAAACATGAGGTGATTTGAGGGCATGTAGAAATTCAGTTAGCACACACATGAGAGATACGGGCACATGATATCCAACTTGTCTTGCTCCCTCTCTGAAACCAACTGGAATATTCCTGCAACAAGCAACTTTTGTTTTTTAAGTATAAGTTCATCAAGGGGATTTAAAAAGAGGTAGAAAAATACTGAAGCCTGACCACAGAAAACAGGAAAAACAGCAGAAGGCCTCAATTTTCCAACCCAGGAATAGATATAAAATACAACTGAAAATAGTTCAAGAAAGATATTACACAGATCCTGGCTTTCCTTCATTTTGGAAGTGAGCAGGGAAAGCAGAACAAAGATGGGGAGAGCGAATGCAAGAGCTGGTCCCTTGCGGTCGCAAAGCTCCATCCTATTTGGACAGCCGTGGTTTTACCTGCATTCATGACACATCATATCTCAGTATTGATTCAGAGAGTGGTCCCATTTTCTCATCCCTGGAAGAATCTCTCTGATCACTTCTTAACTTTTGGAAAGTAGATCAGTCCAGCTACCTCATCATCCATAGAGAAGTTAACCTCTGACCTTCCCATATGTTCTTCTAGTTCTTTAATGTTGAGCTCTTCCGGTTTCCGTAGCTCATCTCCACAGGGAGAGCTTTTCTTGGGAGAATGTAGCCATTCATGTTTTCTAACTGTCATCATCTTGATAGCTTACAACTATATAGGACTTTCCATTTTCCACAACTCCTTCAAATATCCCACATCACCTCTGTGCAGTAGTATTATTCTTCTCAGTTTACTGAGGCAGCAGAGCCAGTATTAACAGGCTCACTATTTATATCCATAATCCAACCTTACCCTCACTCTGGAAAAAGGATTTATTGTAACTTCACAGTTATAAGAATTACATAAATGACTTCCCTATATAAGCAATATTTAACTGCTTTTGGACACCAAGGCTTCATTTTGACCATTTTGTAGAAAATCCTTCTCAAAAAGCTTATATGTCACAAAGGACTGTCGATATAATTTAACCTAACTGGTTCTTGAAGACACAAGGTTGTAATTAGAAACATCTGCTCTTTTGTAATGATGTAAGATAGTTTTGTTTCTTGGAGTCTAGCAATCCTCCCCTCTCATCAGGCTATCTGCTGCAATTCTGCCTCTTACAGCCCTGTTTCTGTCTCAAATCCTCTTGCACAACTAGGTATTAGGAATCATAAATTAGAGAACCACGTTTATTAAGAACTGCATGTTAGATAAAGTGCAAGGGATTACATAAAAATTAATGTTTATTAGTTTGGTTCAGAAACCTAAAAGTTATTTCACTTCTCAAAGAAAGCTGTTTTAAAAAAGCTTATTTTCCATCCAGGGCCATCTTAAGAAAAGAAAACCTGAAATTCTCAAAGTCCGAAATTCAGATAAGCTAGGTGTGTGTGAACTTTAATTTCCACTTTTATTCACATCTACTCAATTTCTTACATCATCCTGTAAATTATCTTCAAACTGGATTTCAAGGCAGTCTAGTAATCTATGAGTAATAACTACATTTTATCTATTGTTATTGATATTATATTGAATCATAGAATTTTTGAACAATTGGTTCCCCAAATTACTTTGAGTGATAGCTCAAGAAGAAAAAGAAAAAATTATCATTACCAAAGTTGATAGCTGATGTAAAAACATCATTTCAAACATCATTCATTTTAAAAAGAGACAGCTCCATTGGAATAGAAATCAGGAGGTCTGGTATTAATGCTAGCTAGCTGTGTGAATTTAGCTAAGTAATTTGATCTATCTAATCCAAATAGTTGTTTTTTTTTTTAATTAGCAGCCATGATTGAACAAATACAGTTTTTAAAGTCCTGCTCAACTCCCAGATCTTGACAGTTACAAAAAAAAAAAAAAAAAAAAAAAAAATTTGAATAGCAAAAATCTGTGACAAGCGTGACATCTAGTGGCTTTTCAGTTTATATACATCCTGATATATGAAGAATTCCAGTGAAGTCACCATTGATTACTATAATCTCATGCATGCAAATATTTAGAATTTTTAACTTAGAGGAATCTAGGGGATCATATACTTTAACCTTCTCATTTTTCACAAGTGAAAACTGAGAACCAAAGTGGTCATTTTTGTCCATGCTTAAGGTCACAGAGGTAGAGGTTGCCCAAAGCCTACTGACTCCCAATCCAGCATATTTGTCATTTACATTTGTACCCTCAAAAGCCAAACAAGGAAAGAAATAATACTTTAAAGAATTGTATTCCTTTGTGCAAAAGTATTTTCTGATATCAAATCTGTCAGTGATAATTACACTGTTTTGTAATGTTTGTTTACTTATTTATTTAAGTTTTCCCCTAAGTTTCATGAGGTGAGAAATCCCAGGCCTCACTCATCTTTGTAGCTCCAGCACCCAGGCCTATATTGACCCTATCACTGATGCCCTAATCTATCTATCTATGTATCTGTGTATCTATGTATGTATCTATCTATCTAATCTATCTCTATCATCTATCTAATCTAGTATCTATCATCTATATATCATCTCTATAAAGCAAGAATTAATAGTACATTGTCAATATATCCTTTTTAAAATGTAGTGGGGGGTAATTTTATAAAATGAGCACATATTGTATATGATATGTGTGACCAAAAGGAAAACACATTTATTGGACTGGTTTTTCCCACCTTTCCTTTGAAAAACCACGTATTTCCCTTCTGCGTTACTTTGGTGGGGCTGACCCAGTCTCTTGCAGTCCCAGTGAGTTCATGACCAAAGCTTGGTGAGTCTCCATTTGTCTTCCAGTGGGCACAGTGACTGACTCAGGGACTTTTCTGCTAAAGTCACTGGGAAAGATGGCTCCTCTTCCTCTGGGATCTTGAGCTGTAAAGATGTAAAGATAAAATAGAAAAATTAGTGGCCCTTTTTTTCCCTGGCACATGGAAATCACTTTCGTAAAATTGAAGCTAGCACATGAAGGGAAGCAGAGATACAGACTGAATTCATCATTAAAGCCTCTGAATCTGGCCATGCCATATTTTGTTTGTTTCAACTTGCTTGAGTTGGTTTCTGTCTCTTGAAATCAAGTGCTGATAATATTAAAATATATCACTGAAAGGCTGCGTGCAGTGGCTCATGCTTGTAATCCCAGTACTTTGGGAGGCCAAGGTAGCTGGATACTTGAGGTCAGGAGTTTGAGACCAACCTGACCAATATGGTGAAACCCCGACTCTACTTAGAAAAAAAAAAAAAAATAGCTGGACATGGTGGCGCGTGCCTGTAATTCCAGCTACTTGGAAGGCTGAGGCAGGAGAACTGCTTACCTGGGAGGCGGAGGTTGTAGTGAGCTGAGATCATGCCACTGCACTCCAGCCTGGGTGACAGAGCAAGACTCTTGTCTCAAAAATAATAGTAATAATTAAAATATATGACTCAAAAAAGCAATTTTTTGAGGACAAGTCTTTCAGTTCCCAACTATTTCCATGCAAAACAAGGCAGTTTTATCAACTCAGCTTGAAAATAGGAAATCATATCCAAATATGAGATATCAATTATGTCTTCCTCCTTCTCTTAATGCTTATATTGCAGCATCTGATTCAGCTATTGAAAATGTATTGCTGTCTTGTTTCAATCTTTTTTTTATCTTTAATTTTAGGTTCAGGAGTACATGTGCAGATTCGTTATATAGGCAAACTGTGTGTTTTGGGGGTTTAGCACACAGGTAATGTTGTTACCTGAGTAATAAGCACAGTACCTTATGGGTACTTTTCTGATCCTCTCCCTCCTCTTACCCTCTACCTTCAAGTAGGCCACAGTGTCTGTTGTTCTTATCCTAGTGGATCCATGTGTTCTCATTGTTTGGGCCCCATTTATAAGTGAGAACATGCGTATTCAGTTTTCTGTTCCTGCATTAGTTTGCTTAGGATAATGGCCTCCAGCTCCATCCATGTTGTCACAAAATACATGATCTCATTATTTTTTGTGACTGCATAGTATTCTATGGTGTATAGATACCACATTTTCTTTATCTAGTCTACTATTGATGGGCATTTAGGTTGATTCTGTCTTTGCTATTGTGGATAGTGCTGCAATGAACATACCATGCATGTGTCTTTATGGTAGAATGATTTATATTCCTTTGGGTGTATACCCGATAATGGAATTCCTAGGTTGAATGGTATTTCTGTTTTTAGAGTGTTAAGAAATCACCACACTGCTTTCCACAATGGCCGAACTAATTTACATCCCCACCAGCAGTGTATAAGCGTTCCCTTTTATCCACAACCTTGCCAGAATCTGTTTGGTTTTTTTTTATTTTTTAAATATTAGCCATTCTTACTGGTATCAGATAGTGTCTTATGGTGGTTTTGATTTACATTCCTCTAATTATTAGTGATGTTGAGCATTTTTTCATATGCTTATCGATTGCATGTATCTCTTCTTTGGAAAAGTGTTCATGTCCTTTGCTCACTTTTTAATGAGGTTGTTGGGGTTTGGCCTGCAAATTTGTTTAAGTTCCTTATTGATTTTGGACATTAAACCTTTGTCAGATGCATAGTTTGCAAGTATTTTCTCCAATTCTGCAAGTTGCCTGTTTACTATGTTGATAAGTTTATTTTGCTGTGCAGAATTCCTGTAGTTTAATTAGATTCCATTTGTCAATTTTTTTTGTTTTTGTTGCAATTGTTTTTGGCATCTTTGTCACGAAATCTTTGACAAGTCCTATGTCCAGAATAGTATTTCCTAAGTTATCTTCCAAGGATATTATACTTTTAAGTTTTACATTTAAGTATTTAATCTACCTTGAGTCAATTTTTATATGTGTTATAATATATCCCCTACATTGCTAATGTTTATGTTAGGATATTTTATTTCTTCAAGCATACTGTAAACTCTCTAAAGGCACAAATCACAGAGCACCCTAAAACAAAGTAGGCATTAGTAGATATATTCTTCAGGAATATAGTCTAAGTTGTATATACTATCCAGATTATGCATTACATTCTGAGAAAATAGTTTATAAGAGTTATTTCCTAAGGGGGGAAAAAAAAACTCCTAACTAAACACACTAAAAACACACTATCTGCAGTAAGAGAGAGAATCTTTGCTTTTGTTGCAATTTCTTTTGATGTTTTTGTCATGAAATCTTTGTCTGTGCCTATGTCCTGTATGGTATTGCCTAGATTTTCTTCTAGGGTTTTTATAGTTTTGGGTTTCACATTTAAGTCTTTAATCCATCTTGAGTTAATTTTTGTATAGGTGTAAGGAAGGGGTCCAGTTTCTGTTTTCTACATATGGCTACCCAGTTTTTCCAGCACCATTTATTAAACAGAGAATTCTTTCCCCATTGCTTGTTTTTGTCACGTTTGTTGAAGATCAGATGGTTGTAGATGTGTGGTCTTATTTCTGAACTCTCTGTTCTGTTGGTCTATGTGTCTGTTTTTATACCAGGGCCTTGCTGTTTTGGTTATTGTAGTGTTTTAGTATAGTTTGAAGTTGGCCAGCATGATGTTTCCTGCCTTGTTCTTTTTGCTTAAGATTAAGGAACTTAAACAAATTTATTAAAACAAAAAACAAACAAACAAAAAAAAAACATTAAAAGGCCAGGCATGGGCTAGGCGCGGTGAGTCACGCTTGTAATCCCAGTACTTTGGGAGGCCAAGGCGGGTGGATCACGAGGTCAGGAGATCAAGACCATCCTGGCTAACATGGTGAAACCCTGTCTCTAATAAAAATAAAATAAAATAAAATTAGCCAGGTGTGGTGGCTGGCGCCTGTAGTCCCAGCTACTCAGGAGGCTGAGGCAGGAGAATGGCATGAACCTGGGAAGCAAAGCTTGCAGTGAGTGGGGATTGTGCCACTGTACTCCAACCTGGGTGACAGAGTGAGACTCTGTCAAAAAAAAAACACAAAAAACCCACAACCCATTAAAATTGGGCAAAGGACATGAACAGACACTTCTCATTTATGTGGCCAACAAACATTAAAAAAAAAAACTCAACATCCCTCACCATTAGAGAAGTATAAATCAAAGCCACAATGAGATATCATCTCACACCAGTCAGAATGGCAATTATTAAAAAGTCAAGAAATAACAGATGCTGATGAGGCTGTAGAGAAATAGGAATGCTTTTACACTGTTGGTGGGAATGTACATTAGTTCAACCATTGTGGAAGACAGTGTGACGATTCCTCAGAGACTTAGAACCAGAAATACCATTTGACCCAGCAATCCCATTACTGGGTATATACCAAAAGGAGTATAAAAAAATTCCATTATAAAGATACATTCATGCATATGTTCACTGCAGCACTATTCACAATAGCGAAGACATTGAATCAACCCAAATGCCCATCAATGATAGACTGGATAAAGAAAATGTGGCACATATACACCATGGAGTACTATGCAGTCATAAAAAGGAATGAGATCATGTCCTCTGCAAGGACGTGGATGAAGCTGGAAGTCATTATCCTCAGCAAACTAATGCAAGGACAGAAAACCAAACACCACATGTTCTCACTTATAAGTGTGAGTCGAACAATGAGAACACATGGATACAGGGAGGGGAACAACACCCACTGGGGTCTGTCAGGGGTGGCGGGGAGGGAGAGCATCAAGATAAATAGCTAATGCATGTGGGGCTTAATACCTCAGTGATGGGTTGATAGGTCCAGGAAACCACCATGGCACATGTTTACCTATGTAACAAACCTGCACTCCTGCACATGTATCCCAGAACTTAAAATAAAATTAAATTTAAAAAAAAAGGTAGAGAATCATGTAATTTGCAGAATTATCCCAAGTGGTTGGTGTCATGTGGCAGTAGTTACTAATTTTCCACCAAAATATTTTCTTCCCCTCAGTAACAGAAATTAAGTGAGGTACATGACTCTCTAGCTAGAGGCCAGATTCCTCAGCCTCCCTAGAAGCTATGCAACTCAGTTTGGACCAGTGAGATATGAGTAGAAGTAACTATGTGCCACTTCTGTGTCTGGGTCTTAAAACACTTGGAATAAGCAATTCCACTTTTTTTGCAAATTGAAATGCAGAAGTGCCAGCAACCCAAGTACAACCATGCAGATGAGAACTCTCTAGAGAAAGGGTTAACAAATTATCACCCATAGACCAGTCACTTGGTTTTGTAAATAAAGTTTTATTGGAACACAGCTATGTCCATTTGTTTAGAAAGTATATATAGCTGCCTTTGCACCACAATGACAGAGAACTTAAGTAATTGCAACAAAGATCATGTTGGGCTGCAAGCCTTAAATGTTTCCTATCTGGTGTTTTCAGAAAAAGTTTGCCAACCACCGCACTAGAGCAAAAAGATAGAAGGAACTTGGGTCCCTACATGATTGTAACAGAAAAATAAGTAAACATCTAGTTTACTGTCATTGTATTTTGGAGCCTCTCTTCTACCTCCGTTTAGCATTTACTGTAACTATTATCTTATTAATTGGATTTCTGTTTATATCTAATTGATAGAAATAGGGGCTTATGATGGCTAGGGGAAAGCATGAATGTGGCACCATGGTCTTGTTGGCTCCTAAGTAGGTTGTACCAGCAGAGGACTCCAATTTTATTAAGCTTCCAAGATGCTTCTCATTGAAAAATGCAGCTGGCTATATATATCCTTGAACTAGCATAGTGTCTCAGATTGAAATACTAGTATCAACATTTCCAAACTCAGTTCTTGAGAGATAATTTAAAATAGTCAATGGGAAGATATTATAATTAATTTACATGTCAACTTGACTGGACCATGGGTGCCCAGACATTTGGTTAAGCATTATTTTGCTTGTATCTGTGAGGTTTTCTGGATGAGATGAACATTTGAATGGGTGTAATGAGTAAAGACGAGTGCCTTCCTCAATGCAGG